GAGGAACGGATGTTGACGCCCCTGATGCTGCCCATCCACCACCCCCTCCTCGATGGGCCAAGCTAGATGAGACAATGCGACAGATCGGTAGACCAAACCCATAACAATGCTGTTATAGCTGATGTATGGCTGATGACGAACAAGTGGACAAAACATGGGTAGCCGATGGGGTGGATGTGGTGCGATGATTTCAACAATCCGGTCAGCTTGCTAGAGGCTGGGACGTACAGAAAGGCATCTCAAAACGGGACGCAGCTACCTAGACCCCGACGTCAATATGGTTTCATGCCGCGACCCTCCCGAGGTCCAGACCCATTCCCAGGGACAGGTTTTATCCCGAGTCGTTTTTGACGGTCCCGAGGCCTGATGGCCCCCAGAGGCCGAAAACTGCGAAAAACCTCCCATCGTGATTTTTGTCATGACTCGAGGGGGTCTGGATATCTGGCTGTGGTCCAGAGCTCTCCATGGGTTACCCAAGTGGCTCCGCACTAGGACTACGCCTCCGAGACCCTCCTTACGGACCTCGCCCCCGTATGCGTTCCTGACAGATAAGAGCAAGTGCTTTTCTAAGACTAGATGGTACCAGATGCTGTGCCAAGCCGACAGGAGCTCCGGATACCACGGGGCATCGCTTCGTGGGCCGAGCTACTCGGCGCCTTCTTCGTGCAAGTGAAGTGCCTTGTCAAGTGTCTGGCATGAACGACACCTCAGCTGAGATAAGAGCAATCCTAGATCCCCCAGCTAATTATGCGTGCGTCAACTGCTGTGCCCATCTCCCGTGCATCTCTGTGGTCGCTGCGGATGCTGACCAGGCGTACGAACAGTGCAGAGCGACTTGCGTGGGGAAATTGGGACAGCATGGCAGTATGTGGTCAGGAAGACTCGCACACGACTTGGATCAGATGTAGCAGTGGTTGAGAAAGGTAAGGAAAACCTTTCTCGTACTTTCTCGACCTAAATAGGACCCCCAACCTACTTCAAGGTCACGGTCTCATACATAACTAAGACCGTCTTGGCACATTGTTGGGTGTCGTTGGTCACTATTGGTGGTATTGTGTTCAAATTGCGCGGTTTACGTATTGGTAGGTTGTGATCGGGAGATGCCTGATCAAAAATGCTAGCCTACTTCGAGCTACAAGCGGAACATTCCCCCAACGTGTTGCATCAACAAGATATCGTACTTCACCTGCCTCTGGAGGGCACGTGGAGATCCGTCACCGTAGATATGTGGATAATGTTCTGGAAATCAATAGAACCTACAGCACGAAGTGTGTCTATGACTACCTCTCTGTGGTGTACAAGGTGAAGCTTCTCCAGGCCTCCTCTTTGGACCTACCCCTGTACCCCTGCACCTGTCTGGACCTCGTGATTGTGCCCCTATCGGAGTCCGTGCGCACGGTTCCGAAGAATGAGCACCGCATATTGCTATTAACAGGATGCACGGAACGACGACCAAAAACCAACATCCTCCCGTGGCCAGGTAAACCCCCGAGGGGCTTACCTGGAAGACTCACAAGAGCCCAGTTCCTGAACCTGCCTCTCATAATAACCCATCCCTGGATCCTGGAGCTGGCCCTCGAGCTTTTCGCCCTAGGATATCCTGCATCCCTAGTCGCAGTTGCAGTACATGCACGCCCTTGGTCAATTGCCATACGCAAGGTTCGAGCGAGACTACGGGGCTGGCACCGCTACCACGTCAAACTTCGAAAGATGCCGCCTGCAGGTTTCTACTTCCCTCAACTGTATGTAAAGACTGGAGGTGCCAACCGTGCCCGTGGAGGCCGCTTCCAGGAACGCTACGACCCAGACAAAGACCGAGATCGGGATCGCGACTGGAACGACGAACGCCCCCACAATCCTCGTCGACCGAGCCCCGACCGTCGTGGCGAACGTGACCCCCGTGGGGACCGTGATCGAAGCCGAGACCGGCGGGATTTCCACGAAGTTCGAGGTGTGAGGAAATACCAAGAACATCGTGACACACGCGAGGTCGTGATTCGGACAAGGATCGGGACGTCAGGGGGCGGGACGGCACACCGCCGCTCAAGGTCGAGCTCACGGCGTCGCAAGGAGCTCAACCGCTTCCGCGAGAAGCTTCGGAGGGTGGACCCCGAGTACCAGGCGTACAACAAGGACAAGAAGGACAGGGCCGAAGAGATGGCCTTGCGCAAGCAAGGTCAGTATGTTGCGCTGGCGATGAGGTCATGCTTCGGTGGCAAGCTATCACAGCTCGTGGGCTCCAAGACCTCCTCTCGCAAGGGCGACGCAGACCGTGAGGTCAGCCCCTCACTGGTGGCAGAGACGCCCAGCAAGAAGACGATCCTCACTCGCCCCGAGGTGCGGTGGCTTCAGCCCCTGATAGGCCCGAAGGAAGAATATCCCGTGCAAGATCACGTGGGAGGCGGCGGCAAAAGTCTTGGAGAGAAAGGTGAACGAGAAGTCAACGGTAGAAACGATCAACAAGTGTATCAGGCGCACTTCCCCAAGAAAACAGTTCCTAAATCCAAATCTCAGCGGGTTCAGCTGGTTCTAGGCATTGGCAATGGCAGCGCAATCTGAACTTAAGGATCTTTTCATCCAAATATAGAATACGCTTGTGACGAATTGTGTAGACCCGATGGGCCTAGTGAGTTCCGTGTATGCTTTGACTCTTTGGTTTCATTTCAGCATCTTTGGTCTGGTTGTGCACGCTCGCCAGCGACTGGGGCATGGTCCACATTGCGCAGGCGTGCATCACCCTGTATTGGACCTTTGTGAAAGAGGCAGGTCCGCTCTAGCGCCTGGCAGGTGACTGCCAGTTGCCTTCCAGCTTCACGGATGAGAGGGAACAGATGGTCATGAGTCATGTTCGGGCAGGCCGTGTGTGAGCCTGAGTGCCCATCGTGATGGCCAGATCCCCCTCCATCCCCCTGTCCCACCTCCTCCGTATGTCACAACAGAGTAGCAGCCAGCAGATCTGTTCGCACAGGCAGCGCCCAGTCCATGGTTTTCAAAAGAGGGAAGACCTCTGGAATATGCCTGGGAACCAGATCGGTCTTCCCCCTCGTTTCCCCCATGGACCTCCCAACCTTTCTGACTTTCATCACCTCGTCCCCTCCCTTCTCCTCGTCCTACCATGTGAGAGCCCTGCCCAGGAGAACCGTGCCCAGGAAGCTCAACTGCTTGAAAAGAGTCGAGCGAACCAACGTTGTGTTTCGCCCACCTCCGTTCCGAGGTATCGGCGCTGGTCCAGCCAACAGAAATGGCAGCCAATTTGAGATTTCAAATGTGGGATATGTCTTTCTTTTTTTGTTCTCTCTCTCTCTCTCTTCTTCCACCCACCCATGTATTCATCTGTCTCACCTTGTCCCCTGCCTTACACTCTCCAAGTTGATCCGTTTGATCACTTCTCGTTCTTTCGCCTCAGCTGTTTGGACCGAGTCTCGTGCCCAAACCGCGCTCACAATGCTGGCCCCGGCGGTTTCCATGACGGAATTCCAAATACAGCGTGCGATAGGGCTTGACTCAAGAAGATCGCAGATTGGGACTGATGTTTTTGTTTTTTGTTTTTTTTCTCTCTCTCTCTCTCTCTCTCTCTCTCTCTCCCCCCACACCTGTCTCGTTATGATTCCATCTCTCTGTCTCTCCTCCTCCTCCTCCTCCTCCAGCAATTCCTCCTCCTCCTCCTCCTCCTAATCACCCTCCTACCCGTCCCTCTGAAGAGGAGAGATCCCCATGGAATAACGGAATATTTGTATCGTTGCCTGAATCTGCCAACATCCGCTCCCCGGGACTGCAGGGTGCCCCAAGATGATCGGCTGTCCCCTTGCCAGGCATGGATTAGCCCAGCATGGGTGCACATGTGGGCAGCATCGAGGAAGATGGCTCGCCCGAGCACCTCCCATGGGCTCGCCTCATGGGGGTGGGCGACATGGCGCGAGCCTCTTTATTTTTTGTACAACAAAAACGATCGAGGCACCCAGTGGCCCCTGGAGACTTCCCGCCGCTACCGCGCCTCGGATGCCATGACAATGGACACCCTAACAATCCTATCATTGAATTAACCATGTGTTCACAAATGGTTGAAACATGTTTCAAAAAATATTTAACACATGTGTAGACACCTGGGAATTATTTGGCAACATGCTTCCTCTCCATTGATCGTCCTCCACAACAATGAGGGCACCCGAAAGACGTTCAGGGGCCCCCCACGAACTCGTCAACCTCCCCACCAGCCGAAGCAGCCACGCAAGGACGAGGCAACCTCATGATCAGCCTTAGGCGATCTCTGAGGCAATGAGGGAAGGGAGCACGTGGGGAGGATTCAGAGGGGAGGCGTTAGCCTTACCTGCGCACGCAGAAGATCTGCAAACACACACACACACATGAAACGGGCAGATTATCAGTGTGGATGCCACGCCCAGCCCACCATGGCCCCCCCCCCCACACAACAATCACTGTGAATCACTGCTCATCGCCTCTTTATCATCCGCCTGCGTCATCCATCCTCTGGGGCTCGCAAACATGGATTAGGGATCCATGGATTTGGAGCACGGTCGCCAAATTCCTGGATCGGGGGAGGTACCCTCGCCAAAGTGCGGCCGGTGCCGCCTCGCTCGGCGGCGGAAACCCGCCATTCCCCCTGGAAGCGGGACCCGTCGTCAGTCCACGCCCCCTTGATCCACGATTGCGATCGCTCGGGTCTTCCACCTCCCCATCTTGAGTAGGGACCGACCGTCCCAGCATTCCTATAGTCCTACCACGAAATGTTCTTAGAACCCCAACTTGTTCTAAGAACAAAAACAGTGTTCTTAGAACATAGGCCCGGTGTGTTAAACCAAAACAGTCCCAGCTAGAAATGTTCTAATAACATTTCGTGGAAACCACGAAAAGTTCTTAGACATTCTTTGGTAGGCCTATAGGCGAGCCGGGACGTTCGCCACTGCTTGACCATCACTTCCTCCTGCTCATCCGCCCCCTCCCCTCCTCCAGGCCAGAGAGCAAGAGACAGCCCCGAGCTCCATAACCAGCTCGGTGACCTCCCATGTCGGCTCGGTGGCCCCCCCGAGCTTGGGAATCCACAGCGCCACGCCCACAATGACCTCGAGGAAGAAGAAGAGGAGGCGGAGGGAAGGGGCCTTCTCTGCGTGCCCCGTGCCCCCACCAAGGCCACAATACATGCTTCTCTCCTACGATTTGCGCGGCCGGAAGACGGCCAGATGACTGCGCAACACCAACCCAAGACAGCTGCAAACTGCCCGAAGAGAAGATACCCTGGAGGCCCAAGAGGTCCCCTATATGGTGCCTTAGGCCCCGAAGAGGCTATCACGGACCCCATCAGCAGCGCCCAGGGACGCGAAGACATACAAAGAACACAATTGTTTCTCAGTCTTCTGCCACCAAAAATGTCACGCCCAAGATGGCTCCATAATGGTTATGCAAGGCCCCAAGATGGCCCCGAAGGGCACCAACAACACCCAAGACGGCCGCAAACGATACTACGACGACCCCGAGACAGCCCGATGACTCCCCACGACGGTCCCGGACAACCACAAGAAGGCCCCAAGGTGATTCTATCGATTCCCTTCGGAAGAGCTTGGTAGAACGAGCAGTCCCAAGGCGTCCCCACGACCCCACACAGCTCCTGCCCCGATAGAACTCCCCATGAGGCCCCCGAGTGGCCACAAGGAAACCTCCAAGGTGCCTCTTACTGTACAGTGATCAACGATATCTAACTCTGGACAGGATGGCGCGGCGTGGATCGGAACTGCCCCCCCGCCCGGCGCGCGGAGCCTGGTGCTATATGAGGGGAGTGGAGCTGTGCCAGCGGGGAGCGGGCAACCTCGGGCTCGGCCTAAGATGGTCGGAGCGAAGGGTTTCCGCTCACGCGAATCCATTTCAAGTCGTGCGCGCGTGGGCTTCTTCGGGGCAGGCAATAGGCAAACGTCGTGGCGTTTTTCGCATTATCGTGCTTCTTATTATTCTTCTTGTTATCATGGTGTTCTTTTTCTTTTTCAGGTGTTTCTGCTTCGCCTGGGCCCAGAGGGGGAGCCGGCGAGGCCCGGCTGGGGGGAAAGCCCGCGCGCACGTGTGGGGGCCGTTGGGGGGGGGATGCCCAGGATCCCCGCCGCGGAGGACCCGAGGCATCGCGGGGGCCCACGGGTGGTGCCTGTCGCGCGGGGGCCAGGAGGGGCCCGCGGCGTCGTGGTGGCCCGTCGCCGCGGCGCCCAAGGTTGGTGTTGCTCTTGGCTTCACGGAAATGCACTGTCGAAAAACAGCACGTCGGCGCCTGCGGCGGGTTCTTGTCATTGAACGTTCTGTTCAGCTCTCTCAAGTGGCCCCTGGGGGGGGGGGGCCCGCGGCGTCGTGGGGGCCCGTCGCCGCGGGGCCCACGGGCGGCGCCAGCCCTGGTTGCGCAGCGATGCAGCAACGCTGAAGATTTGAAAGATCGGCGCCTTCTTCTTCGGCCCTGCGGCAATGCTTCGTTTGACTGGTTTCAGTGAGGCGTCCGAGGGGGCCGCGGCGCCGTGGGGGCCCACTGGTTGCGTCGGGGAAAAAAACAAAGAAATCAAACGTCGGCGCCTGCGGCGACCTTCTTCTTTGTTCGGTTCACACAGCGCGTCGCGCCAAGACCACAACACCCCCCCACTCCTATCCGAATTTGCGGGGGGTATGGGTCTAACGGAATCTTTGTCTCCTTTTCCCAAACCCCTCTTCCCTTCATAGAGGGGTACCCCCTACCCTCCTTGAGGTTTTTCCCAACGGCCCTGTGTCGAGTTGGGTCCTTGTTTTGAGGAGACAGCGGCCCGCGTCCCGCTCCTCTCCTCCTCCTCCTCCCGCACCTCCCTTCTCCTCCTCTCCTAATCCTCCAACGCTCCCTCTCGCCGGCACACTCCTCACACGCTTCGTGGGCCCATACTAAGCTCCATCGCGAGCCCCCAAAACTGCGTTTGCATATCGCCAACCCCATCACTGTGGCACATCCTACACACGCTTCGCGGCCCCATACGGAGCTCAACCGGAAGCCACACCCCCACTTTGGCACACCCCTGACAAGTTTCGTGGCCGCGTAGGGAACTCCACCTGAGGCCCCAATGGCTGCGTTCGCATGCCGCCACCCCCATCACTTTGGCACACCCCTCACACGCTTCGTGTCCCCATGGGGAGCTCCACCGAAGGCCCCGGTGGCTGCGATCGCATGCCGCAACCCCCCTCACTTTCGCACACCCCTCACGCGTTTCGTGGCCCCATAGGGAACTCCACATAATGCCCTGTGGCTGCGCCCGCATGTCTTCTCCCGCTTCTTCTGGCGCCTATCAGCCTCAACGGGTTACATCAACACGTAACCTGTTCGTCTGACGTCCGCGCCACCCGCGGACGGCCCCAACGGCAGCGCCCGCATGGCGGCCCCGCCCTGTTTCGTCGCTCCCTTCCTGCGTTTCGTAGCCCGCAGGGAGCTCCACGGAAGGCGGTTCTCACCACGGCGGCATTCACAACTACATCTAATTGGTTGGGTCCTTCGCCAGGATAATTTTGGGCGGGCCGCGATGATCGGTCAGAGCGTCAAACATGGCCCAATGCGGCTCCAAGAGGGCTTCCGATGCTCCACGATGGCCTCCAAGGCGGCTCAAGATACTTAACCGAAGGTGGTTCAAGATAGCTTCCAACATACATCCAAGAAACCCGGCGGTGGACACAAGACGACTCCAAATACTCTCGGAACCCCCTCAGCCCCCCCCCAAAATGGCAAATTCCACAAAAAAACCAAAGGGAACTCGATGAGTGTTGCCTTCATCCCTGTCGCTTCCGATGTGCTTTTGAAGCCTCAAGACGGCCCCAATATGGCCCAAGAGAGGCCCACGATGGGCCCAAGAGGCCCCCCAGACAGCCCCAAGAGCGCCCGAGCGCGGCCCAATAACGCCCCAAGAGGGCCCCAAGAAGCAATTTCGAGGGCTCTCGTGGGGGGAAGGGGAGGGGCTAGATGAGGCCCCCTCTTTGATCGATGGCCTCGCCTCCTAGATGGCCTCGAGAAGCCTTCTAGGGCTGCCAAGGTACCCCCAAGAGGGCCCAAAGACTGCTCCAAGAGCGTCCAAACGCGCCCCAAGAGCGTCCCGCGAGGGCCCCAAGAGGCGGCGGCCTTCCTCGTCCTCCTGCTCCTCCTCCTCCTCGTCCTCTTCCTCCTCCTCCTCCTCCTCCTCCTCCTCCTCCTTCCCTCGCCTCCCCACGGGGCCCAGGGATGGCTCGAAGAGGCCCTCCAAAGCCACCCCAAACAAACGGGGAGAAAACATAGACCCCAAACAACCATTTTCTGCACCGTGGAATTTGAGACGATGGTGTGTAAGACATGTGGTGGCAACAACTACTCCGCGTAAGATATGTGGCGTGACCTGTGGGAGTAGAAGCTATGCGGTGCCGACCATGTGGTGCAAGCTGTGTCGTGCAGGCTGAGAGGTGTGAACTGGAGGTGTGAACGCAGCGGAGTGCAGTCTGCATGTGATGCCAGCTGTGCTGCGCAGTGTGCGCAGCGTAGGCCACGCGGTGAAATTTACGCCGTGTATGCCGAGAGAGCACGGAGCGCCCACGCGGCGCCCACGAGCCGCCCACGGGGTTACAGCGTGGCCACGAGTCGCCCACGAGTCGCCCACGAGGTGCCCACGAGGCGCCCACGAGGCGCCCACGTGGCGCACCCGGGGGACACCCGTCCGGGGTGCACTGGGCGCCCACGCGGCGCCCACGAGGCGGCAGCGCGGCGCAGCCTCGGCATGGGGGCGCCCACGAGGCGCCCACGGGGCGCCCGCGGGGAGGCAGCGTGGCGCAGCCTCGGCATAGCCCCCCCCCCGCGGCGCACGGGGCGCCCGCGGGGCGCCCGCGAGGCAGCACGGGCGGCAGCGTGGCGCAGCACCGGCACACCCCGAGAGCGGGACGCCAGCGAAGGGCCCCCGAGGCAGCAGCGTGGCGAGAAGGAAGGATGCCCAACCAGCTCCTGAGCTGAGACTTCGGAGCCCCTGCGGTGAAAATACTGCTTGGGGAGTTGTGAGATGTGTTTTCCTAATTATCACCATCTGTACGTATCTATGCACAAACAGAAATGCCCTCGCTCACTATCCCTATGCCCCTCCCTGTATGAATATATATAATACACAACTCTTCAATATAGGTGTACACATGCATGTAGAGATGTGTATATACAGAAGGGGGACGACATGTATATTCGTATATATATATATAGATTTACGAATAGACTTAACACATGTTCATTCCCATCCGACCCTCCATACACAGATCCCCTCTATTCCCCTCTGCCCCTACTGAAACATCGCACTTCTAGAGGGAGGTCCTGAAACCGTTCCCTAATAAGTACGACCCCCTCCCCCCTCCCGGGAAAATTTATGGACCACCCAGACAACTACTTGCAAACAATTCGCCCAAGGCAGGTCCCAGCCGAAGCAGAGGCAGGATATGGGAGGGAGGAAGGGAGGGAGGTTGGCATGGCAGAACAAACAAGGGAGGACAGAAAGGAACGGGAGGAGAGAGAGAGAGAGAGAGGCACGCGAATGGAAGGATGAGGGAGGAGGGCGGCCCCGCCAGGCAGGCAGGCAGTGAGCCGACGTAGATCCGACGTTCCTCCAGGAGAACGGTGCTAAGCCCAATGCAGCCACGACCGCTGCGCCACACAGCCACAGCCCAAGCGCGTGCTTCTTGCCCTCGCCGATCTCGGACGCTCGCTGTCTGAGGTTCTTGCGGAGGATTGGCTGCTTCTTGCCAGTGCTGGTCTCCTCGTCCTCCCAGGAGAGAGGCACGCCTTTTCTCTGTCACCCTCGTGCTGTTCCTGCTGCTCCTGCTCCTGTTCCAGCTCCTGCTGCTGCTCGTGCTCCTGCTCCTGCTCCTGCTCCTGCTCCTCCTCCTCCTCTTCCTCCCCTTCCTCTTCCTCCTCCTTCTCCTCCCCATAAGATGTCATCAACGTTCGCGCGCTCCACTACCCCTGTGATTCACGCATGGTGCAACTCTCGTTCGAACCAGAACTCCTAATGCATTGCCTGGTCCGCCGCCATGCCGTAGGCACTGAGTGGAGGAGCGCTCGCAAACAATCTTGAAATTATCAATCGAAGCTTGGGGATCGAGACGAGAAATGGCCCCAACCAGGAACTCAATTTAGGTTTCAATCATTGTCGCGCGTGCGAGGCGAAGTCGCGCGATTCCGGTGATGTGTAAGCCATGGCTCGGGCAAAATCTAACACCAACTTCTGCGTCTGTCACTCGATGGTTCGTGGCTTGTCCCGTGATTGACCCATGGGCTGTCCCTTGCTTGTGGTTTCCTCATGGGTTGACGCGTAGTTGATCCGCGGGTTGTCCCGTGGGCGTCTCGTGGCAAAACCAAATTGACATGCACACGCAATTGCATATATAAATATAGATCAACGACTCGATCAGTGTATATGTATACAGACACACACATAGTCTGTTGTCAAGCAAAACCTATGAGAGGGCCTCTGGGCAACAATCTACACATAGAAAATAATGATGACTATAGGGTTGTGAGTCAAGTATATCCGTAAGTCGGTGATCTACAGATTTGCAAGCCGGCAGACTCTGGAGACACATCTTCTGGTGTGTACGAACACATGTATATGAATTTGGTGAGGACAGGTCCCCGAGAATCCTCGGAGCTGACCAATGATTGTTGTATTGCGCACATCTCTAGAGAAGACCCGGGGCCAGAATCTCCAGACCTCTTCCCTGGGGCCGGCCGCAGGCCTCCTCTGGGGTGGGTCGCGCGTGCCTTGCCCCGGGGCCAGAGATCCCCGATTTGGGCCAAGAGGGTCCAAAGAGGGCCATGGGACACCCTAAGAAGGCCTCAAGTGGTCGTCTTCTTATTCGTAGTTTGGCCGATCGGCGCGGGCCCTGGCCCCCACCCCCCCCGAACCCCCTCCCCTGGAGTAGATCTTGGCTGTTTTGGGCGCCTGTTTCAGGTAGCTGGATTCCCCCCATCATCACAATGGACGCACTGGTGCAAGCATTCGCGATAAGCAGAGGTGCGGAGCTTGACCCCCCCCCTCCCCCCCTTCCGCCCAGTGTCGAAACTCCGAATAAGAGAACGCTCACGAGGAGGACGCCCTGGAGGCCGGCCCCTGCTGCCAACAACGTGACACAAACGAGATCCAAATTGGTCATTGGTGCTGCTGTCGCTACGTTTCTGTCTTCAGGGAGTCCAAACAGGCCTATGAGACCCCCAAGATCGGCCCAAGAGCCCCCAAGAGAGCCCCCAAGCGGGGCCCAAGAAAGCCCCAGGACCGCCGCAAGGGGGGAAACACGAAGAGGCCTCTCGAGCCCTCCGCCCTCCACCCCAAAATTATCCCAAGATGCCCTCCGAGGCCCCCTCGACGCACCCAAGAGGCCCACAAGAGGCTCCGAAAAGGCCCCCGACAGGCCCCAAAGAGGCCCCAAGAGCCCCCTCAAAAAGACTCCCAGAGGCCCCCGAGAGGCATCCCGAGAGACCTCAACGGGCATCCAGTACGCGTCTGACCGACAACCCAAGCATGGTGACAGGCCGACGGCCACTATCCGCCTCTCCCTGTGGCTATAAGAAAAGCACTTGGCGTGCTAAGACTCAGGTACTTGAACATTCCCAATGGCATTCGTCTTGTCCCGCAAGCCGAATTGGAGACCGTGTCTGTAATCGGAATTCCCGCTCACGATGGGCCCAAATGTGGCCTCCAAGGTGCCCAAGATGGCATCCAAGATGGCCCAAAGACGCCCCAAAGACAGCCGAGATGACCTCAAGAGGCCCGACGTAACCCTTATCTAGGAGGACTGGAAAGACGACTCCAAGGCGGCCCAGGCTGCCCTCCAGACGGCCCAAGAGGCCCCCGAGACGCGCGTGCGGGCGGGGCGCAGCTGCGCGTGCGCGGCCTTGTGCCAGGGCTGGGCCGGTGGTCGGTGGCGGCCGTCCCCACCCCCGTCGTCGCTCCGTTTGTGGCTCGCGTCCCCGGGTGTCCTCTGTAGGGGGGCCACAGGCGAGCCCTGCCCCTACCCCCCACCATTTCGGAGGGGGAGGGTGGGGTTCACTTCGCTCGGGAGCTCTCGAACGAAGCGAACCCCGCCCTCCCCCTCCGAAATGGTGGGGGGTAGGGGTAGGGTTCGCATGTGGCCCCCTACTCTGGTTGCACCGCGCGTGATTTTTACGAGTGTCCCGCTCACGAGCCGCACGTTCGAGCTCCCGCTCCCTGGCACGAGCCACGCCTTTCACGATTGGCCCGCTCACGGGCCGGGAAGGACGCCCCCCCTCCCCGAACGGAGGCCGTTGGGTGTTGCGCTCGGCCCGCGCACGGGCCGCACGTGAGATGCCCCGCTCCACGAGTTGAAAGAACGTGCTGCGTCACGGATGTCCCGCTCACGAGCCGCATGGTGGATCCTCCTCTCCCCGAGCTGAAACTATGTGTTTTCACAATGGTCCCGCTCACGTGCCGCATGTCCGGACCCCCCTACCACGATTTGAAACCATGTGTTTTCGCGATTGTCCCGCTCACGGGCCACAACATAGATACCCATCTTTATGCAGTTGTCCCGCTCACGGGCGACATGTTAGGTACCCCGCTACACGTGCTGAAAACACGTGTTTTCACGATTGTCCAGCTCATGGGCCACATGGTGGATCCCCCTCCCCGAGCTGAAAGCAAGTGATTGTTTACAATTGCACCGCTCACGGCCGCATGTTAGATACCCCCCTCCCCGAGCTGAAGATACCTGTTTTCACTCGTGTCCAGCGCGCGGGCCTAAATACTCCCCTGCCCGAGCTGAGACAATTTGCTGTACGGTTGTCCCGCCCGACGGGCTGAAAACATGAAAATGGATTGTTGTCCCGCTCGCGGGCCGCATACGAGATACCCTCCTCCCCGAGCGAAAATCCATCTCTTTCACGATTGTCCCGCTCACGGGCCGCATGTTAGATACCCCCCTCCCCGAGCTGGCAACACGTGTTGCACCACGTAGATTGCTCGATATTGTCTCTATTACGTCGATTGCTCCACATAGGTTGCACAACATATATTGCTAGAAACATCGTCTGGGGACCATGCTTGCCAACATGCCGCACATATATGAAAATACACACATGACTACATGACTAGATATCTAGGTTACCTGGCTAGATACAAATAGACACATGTAGTTATACAACTTCATATCTCACCATCAACATCTTTGTCGATCTCGCTATCTATCTGACGGTGCAACCAACGGGACAAACACGCAGACCGTCATTATATAAATCTACTTGTATGTTCCGATTGGTCTGGCTACCGACCGGTCCCAGTACCGATTGGCCAGTCCCAATATCGAGATATCTGCCGATGCCACTACCCATCTATCGGAGTAACCAGCGGGACAACCATCAAAATAACAACTATCTTTCTCACCCACCCACCCGCAACTTGGTCTGCTCAACCCGTGCGGCGCGATTGCGATGAGTGCTCGGCGTTGGCTGGTGCATCTCTGCGGGCGCGCTAGCCCGCGCATCCTCGCGCGCATAGCGGCCAGCTAGGTTGGCGCGACCGTCGCGGCCGCGGTGGCGCTGACCGCTGGGCACGGCCCAGCGGGCACTTCAGTGCGAGTCGGTGACTTAGGCGGGCGCGGTATCATGGCAACGCCGACAACGGTAGCCATGACTATGACAGTAGCGATGGTGACGAAGGTGGCGATGACGACGGCAAAGCCAATGACGGCCCCTATGTTGATCACGCCCGCCAATAACGATGACGATGTCCTCGCGTCGGCGATGCAGGCTGTTGAAGGAATTCGGCATGCGCGCGCGGCCGACGCGCGCGATTGGCCCGCGTGGTATTATTTGACACGGATCGTGTTCCCCCCCCCCAGCACGCGCGCATGTGGGGCGGTCGAATGAGTTCGACATGCGACATGCGGCGCGAGAGGCCCGCGTGGAAGAAAGTTATGACAATGTTGAAGACCAACGGTTTTCCTGAGAACCCGCATGAGCGCGAATGCAACATGTTTTGGAAACTGATGCTGCAAAACCGTGTGTTGTTATCTGTTTCGGGGCACTCGGTTTTGAAATCCTTACGACACCGACAGTTGTTCAAGGATTTCGGCATGCGCACGCGACGACGCGCGCGTGTGCACTTCGTCCCATTTGATGCAAGGGATTCTTGCGACAGCACGTGCGCAAGGGCGTTCGAACGATTTCGGAACGCGCGCGCGAGAAGCCAATGTGTAAGCAGTGTATGCACATTTTCAAAACGCCGATGGTTTTCTTAAGAATTCGCAAGAGCGCGGCCGCAAACTTGTTTGAGCAGCATTGTTGCACATCCATGTGCTTTTATATGTTTCGGGGAACTTGATGTTGAAATCCTGACGAAATCGAAGGTTGTTCAAGGACTTCGGCATGCGCGCACGACGACGCGCGCGTGTGCACCTCGTCCCGTTTTTTGTTTTGCAATGGGTTCTTGGCAAATGATGGTTTTTGATAAACGAGAGGGCGCGCATATTGTTTTTTGCAGAGCGGGGAGGGTCGATACCGGATGGGCTGGGATGGTACGAGCTCATACTCAGGATGAGCGATGGGGCAGAATCAGATGTACATTGCAATACGAAAACAGGGGGCGGTTAAGTCCGGGGGCGGGAGGTAGATCCTATTTTTTTTCTGAAAAAGGAGAATAGTGTCGTATAAGCTATCTGGCGCAACGCAACGAAAGCAATGCACAACGATGCAAAGCCATGCAAAGCAATCCAACGTAACGAACAACAATGCAAAGCAATGCCGAACAATACAATCCTTGGCGTGGCAATGCAAAACAATGCAAAGCAATGCAAAGCAACGCAACGCATCGCAAAGCAATGCAAAACAATGTACAGCAAGGCATAGCAATGCAAATCAGTGCCAAGCAATGCAGGCCCAGACGAGGGACGGCGACGAGGATGCGAAGAGGCGGATGCGGCGACAACATAGCCGCCAGACCGCCACCCACGCCCTGACGACAAGCGGCGAAGAGGCGGACGCGGCGACAAAGTAGCAGCCAGACCGCCACACAGGCCCAGACGACGGGCGGCGACGAGGCGGCGACGGCGACAACATAGCCGCCAGACCGCCGCACAGGCCCTGACGACGGGCGGTGACGAGGCGGCGACGGGGCGGCGACGGCGACAACATAGGCGCCAGAACGCCACACAGGCCCAGACAACTGGAGGCGAAGAGGCGGCGACGGGGCGGTGACGGTGACAACATAGCAGCCAGACCGTACCGCCACATAAGGAGAGCCAAATGCTTTCAAACACATTGCGCTTGCGGTGTCCTTCCAAACGACATCTTGCCTAGTGGATTGCAAGGTTGCAGATATGGTTTCTTCGCGCACGGTTTGCATCTTGACTCCTCTTGTGAAACCTGGCAAAAATAAGCACGACATGTCGTGTGAGCCTTCCGACCATCAAGACGGTCAATCCACGGGACCACCGAAGGACAGCCCGCGACCCAACCCACGCGACAGCCATGGAACAACCTTGGAGAAACCCACGGGTAAGCCACGGGACAAACCACAAAACAAACCACTGGACATCCGCGAAACCACCCACGAGACAATCGAGACAACTGCAACACAGTCCAGGGCAGCGCACCGAACAACCCAGAGAAAAACCACGGAATCACGGGACAACAAACGGAACAAAAACAACGGGGCATCCACTGGAAAATCACGTTACAATCCACGGGGCAGCCACGGGACAATCCACGGGGGCAACCACACGGGACAGCAACGGGGCAATCACAGGACAACCCTATCGGCCACCGCGGGACGGGAGAAGTCGTGCTGTTCGCCTTGCCCCTGCCTTGGCCGACACATCATCGCCCTCTTGCAGCTTCACCTCGCCTGAACGCGCGACCCGCACTGACACCGACACCGATTTCCCAGCTAGGGTCGCGTCGCCCTCATCCCGACACTTCCGACCTGAGGCGTGGCTGGCAATCAACACATCGGCATAAAACAAGTAACGACTGTAACACGCTGCCGAGCCATGAACCGCAGGCACGGGGCAGATGCTCGGGCCCCATCGAAACAATTGGCTGGGCAATAGCCCAGCTCGGTGAGGGGAGAGGAAGCGAATAATGACGGAGTGGATGTGTGTTAAGGAGGACAAGGCGGTAGGAAGCAGCAGGAAGACGAGTGCAATGGACGAGGTGAAGAGGTGAGGGGGAGGGCGAGGATGAGGAGAAACCGCTGTACGCGGAGGAGGACCAGGACAAGACAGAAGGTGAAAGGGGGAGAGGAGGGAAAGGCAATCGAGGTGGAGTAGATGAGTGGGATCAGGAAGGGTAGGAGCGGGACCAGTAGAGGGAGGGGGAAGGATGATGATGATGATGATGATGAGGAGGAGGAGGAGGAGGAGGAGGAGGAGGAGGAAGACAAACCCCGACACCCGACGCCACAGATCTTTAAATACGTGGGGCCTCGGAGCTGTCGACCCTCATTATTTAAAGTGATCTCTTGCTGAAAACCGTGGGCCCCAGGTCCTGGGAAGAAGTACCTGCGGGCCCAGCAGCGTACACAAACTTTGCAATCCTGGCGTGTGGCCAGGACGCTCGAGCTCTGTGCTCTATGGTCCTTAGTAAGTCGGGTCGGAGGGGGCCGATCGGGATGATCCTGGCGTCCCCGAAGGCTCTCGAAGAGGCGCAGCTGCTGGAAAACAACCCAGGGCCCGATATCACTGAAGAGCCACAACAAAATATCAGGCGACATCCGAAGGCTTCCACCCCAGCCGCTCCACCCGCCAGAAGAGCGGTCCTCGGAATCCTCGTCCGAGCTGGTCTCTCCGCCTCGGCTGTGGGACATTCCCCTCCTCCAGTTGGCCCAGGCCCGGCACTCGATGGTGGCATCGCGATCGCAGTCGGGCACGGAGACCGGCGGGAGGATGAGGAGGAGAGCGGGAGGAACATGGATGAGAAAGAGAAGCGAGGTCTGCGCTCCCCCGAAGGATGCCATACGTCCAGCAGTTGGAGAAGGCCCGCGTGACCATCGCACTCCCAGCTGTCAGAGCGAGGACACCGAAACCCTATAGAGCGCACTGCACCAGGACCATCGACTTCCGTCATGTACGCGGGTGCACGCCTCGTTCGGAGCGGCTCCCCACTCCTCGCGCACCTCCTCCGAGCAGAGATCTCTCTTCTGCGCTGGGCAGTGTGCTGCAAGCCGCCGAGGCTGCAGCAGCGCATGCGGTGCACGCTGAGGGCAGCCGCTCTCCCCGAGGCGCTCCGACTCCAAGGCGCCGCGCGCCCGCTTTCAGAAGCCGCGCGCCCGCCGACCAGCCTTCTCGAGCCGTGCAGGGCAGACCGAGCACCTCCAGCGGCCGTTGGCCACCTCGTGAAGGTCGTGCTGGAGAGGGCGTGGCTTCACTCGCCCCGCATCGTGTGAGCGAGCCCGGCGGCAGGTGGGCCCACTCCGCCCTTGGGAGCGGCCCCAGCTGACGGCATGCGCCCAGAGTCCCGCAGTCCACTGACGCCATCCGCGCAGACACACTCGAGCAGGAGCACAGCCTGGGCGCTCCTGGGAGGCATGCTAAGAGTGCTCATTTGGGCGCCTCGTCGGGATACCCTGGGAATTCGGATCGGGGCTCGAGGCGCGTAAATAGCGTTGGTTGCGCGGCCCCGCAGCCTCGAACCCTGGTGAATTACAGTGGGATCCCGCTCCCGGGGCCACCGTCCTTCATGAATCATTGCAAGCTCGCGCAACCAGCCAGCCAGCAGCTGCCAGACTCAAATGTCAATTACCAATCTAGACAACAAGACAATCGGCGAAATTGCCAGCCCGACAAGCGACAAGACAACCAGCCAACCTACCAACCAAGCGTCGCCGTGCAAGCCAGCAATTTGAGGGGGGTATGCGGCGGTTGACCAATCCCTTCAAATAAACATGAAGAGAAAGAGAAAGGGAAGGCCATCCATATATACATATATATATATATATATATGTATACACAGCTCAGAGATGCGAATATAACGAGAGAGAGAGAGACAGAGAAAGAGAGAGAGAGAGAGAGAGAGAAAGGGAGAACGGGAGAGAGAAAAACCACGCAAGAAAGGGGGGGGAACGAAGAGAGGGACAGAGGAAAAGAGCGAGAGCTAGATATGTATGGATTCCCTTGACAATGTTTGCACTTAGAGACTCTTACTTTTGGTTTGAGGAACTGGGCCAGGCTGTCGGTCTGGCGCTATGTTCGTCGTCGCCACCGCGTCGCCGCCCATCGTCTGGGCCTGTGCGTGTGTCTGGCGGCTATGGTATGGCCGTCGCCGCCCCGTCGCCGCCTCGACGCCGTCCGTCGCCGCCGTTAGATTGCATGGCATAGATTGCTTCGCGTTGTTTTGCATTATTTTGAGTTGCTGTGCGTTGCATTGCATTGTTTTGCGATGCGTTGCTTTGCGCCACACATATTGCACAACAACATGCACTGCCGATCTTGCACAGCCTCTATGGTACAACATAGGCTGCACCCCATGTATTGCACAACGCATGTTGCATCACATCGGTTGCTTCACAACAACTGCATCATGTGGGCCACACCGCATGTACGGCACTGAATTGATTACACACCATATATCGCGCAACGCAGGTTCTCCGCTGAGAAACTGTAATCTTCCTCCACCGCCCCCCCGCTGTTCACCCCAAGGATATCGCAATGTACATATGGTTCTGCCACACTGATCATTCCAAAAAGGATTTCGTACCATCCCAAGGAGTGTCATTATCGACCCCCCTCATCCCTGTCAAATCTGCCGACCCCTTTATGGGGCCACCAGGCTGTAGGCCGAAGTGTGCTGATCCCTGCACTAGTTGCAGTTTGAAGTATCCAATGTTGCAGTCCTGCTTGCTGCTTCCTAGTGAAAATTGTTTAAGCGCGGGGGAAAGAACTAATTATCGCAACCCGCCCATGAAAAGGAACCGGCCGTCCGGGATCAGAGGCCCGGTAAAACCCTTGCCGACGGCGCCATCCCGCCAGTCAGGCGCCAGAGCACGCTTCGGCGCGCACCGCTTCTTCCTCCAATTTTGACCAGGTTGCTAAAATCAATGAGGGCATCGAGATCAGTCTTCGACAGTTCCTGAGTTCCTGTACGTAATCGACGGTCTTGCTTTCGCTGGTTCTTTCAGATTTGAGCGCCAAAATCAACTGCGCTTGGTGTGAGGACTAGCCAGAACCATCCAGACCGTTGAAATCGTCCCAACCATCAGGCCGAACGCCACGCTCTGAAACGTTCAGGTTCTGTGTTCCCACACCTCTGCAACAGAGAACAAATCGAAGAAGACAAACGAAGCCACAGCGGCGTGGTTCAAGCCCTTGTTGTCCAGGTTGTTCGCGGTCAGCACCCTGAGCACAGCAATGGTGATAGCCCACCAGCCCATGCAGCGGAAGAACAGCGGGGAACCAAGCTCCAGAGCCTGGGGAAAGACGTGCTCGAGCGCTTGCGGGTAGAGCAAGCCCGCAAGGCCGCCTACAGAGTTGTACAGAGCGACGAAGTGCAACCAACCTTGCAATACTCGCATCGCCAAGAAGCGGCGTCCGAAAGGCGATGCGCGCGCAGCGGCGCCTCTGCCGATGCAGTCAGGTGGGTAAAACTACTGTGAGTCTCACTGGCGGTCTTGAGCCAAGGCTTGAGATGCCTTGAGCCCGCATGGCTAATGGTATCCATTGGCTGCGCCATGAGTTGCGCCATTAGTTGCGCAGCCAGCTGCCGAAAAACAACAACGGCCTGCGCTGGGTTTCGCCCACGGTTGTGCACTCCGCGGCCGACAGCAACAAAAACAGCATGCCGTAGGTTGGGCCATGCACTCGGGGGCCAACCGTAAAAAGGATCTGGCATTGATCGCGCAAGCGGTTACGAACTCGGCGACCGAACACCCAGACCCCCGACGTCATGATCTTTTCATGACCCGACCCCCAGAGGTCCGGACCCCTTCCCCGGGACCAACTTTTCATCATGAGTCGTTTTTTGACGGTCCCGAGGCCCAGTAAGGGACCCCAGGGGCCGAGAATTGCAAAAAACCTCCCGTCGCGCTTTTTTTTCACAACGCGAGGGGGTTCTGGGACACACCACTGGCTGCGATTGGCTACGCCATAGACTGCGCAGACTCCGCGACAGAGCACAAAAAAGCAGCTTGCGATTTTGCTTGGTGGCGGCGTAGACTCTGCGCACTCGGCGGCCGAGAGCGTGAAACCTGGCCTGCCTACGGGTTGCGCACTGGGTTTTGTGCACTCGACGGCCGACAATGAAATGGCCGCCTCACGAGTGCGGCCAGGCACCTACCCAAACCCCCTCGAGTCACGAAAAAATCTCGATGGAAGGTTTTTCGCTATTTTCGGCCTCTGGGGGCCCTCACCGGGCCTCGCGACCGTCAAAAAACGACTCACGATGAGAAACCGATCCCAGGGAATGGGTCCGGACCTCTGGGGGGCGCATCATGTAACAAATCATGACGTCGGGGGTCTGGGCAGATGCCTTTCGAATCATTCTCACCTCGCGAACAACAAGCTCGAGCCGCCAACAACGAGAGGAGGAGCGAGGCATGCGAGGGAAGAGACGGAGTGATATGACCACGGAGTCGAAGACGAAGAAGAGGACGAGGAGGAACATGATGAGAGGCAGCAGTGGAAGCGGCGAGATCAGCGGACGAAAGACACGATGATGATGATGAGGAGGAGGAGGAGGAGGAAGCGGGGGGTGGAGGGTATGAAAATGAGGAGAAAGAACATGAGAGATATACATAGGACCTTCCATAACCATACCGAACCGCCAAATGACCCCAGGAGAGTCCTACGTAGAATTGCCTAGACATGTGATGTTGCATGCACGATTTTCATGTCACATGGCGGTCAAACAACAATGATTGTGAACGAGCCGGCTGGGCTGGTTTTGCCTGCTGGTCTGCTTGGGCTGCATTGGGGGGTGACTTTGGCAGGCTTCCAAGACCACCTGAATTGGGGCTGGGATGGTCTTGGCTGGCTGGGTGAGCTGGACTGTCACGTAGGCATGAGACGGTTCGAGGATCAAGCAAATAAGCAATTGCGTAACGCCTCCAAAACTGAAGCCAAGCTGGCAAACTAGCAAGACGATGCGCGCCAGCCACGAGCGTGTCATTTTCCTGGCAACAACGCTGGCAACGCGACGTGTGCCAGAAGCGAGCGGGTATCCATCCACTCGAATTTATAGGAGGTATGCGCAAGGGACGCAGGAGGGACACCGGGCAAGGGCGACAGCAAAGGGCACTACTACAAAAATAGCTTACGTAGGCAGGGGGAGACCGTTTGGCATATCCCAGACCACTACCCCCGCTGCATCCTGCTTCTCTTTTGAAGGACGAGGATGGGGAACGGAGGTGGCCTGTGGTAGTCGAGCAGTGCGTGCCCGAGGCTTCGGACTCGCTGCTGCGCGTCGGGGCTCCAGCCTGTCAGAGCCTCGAATCTGAAGAGTATTCTGACAGGCAGGCTACTCGCTCCTTCTCATCATTCGCGGATCCACCGACCGCTCGTACAGTCGTACCGATCGAATGGAAACACATCCGTGGAGAACAGGTGAACCCTTCGAGGTGGGGTAATCGAATGGATCGATGCCGAGCGACCGCACGCATCGTCGAATCGACCGCACGGTGGGCAGCCCCGTGGCGGACCCCATAGAGCCCCGAGATGCCCCTAGAGGCAGCTTGCAAGTACCCAGAGAGGTCTCTTCTTCCCCCATTCCTCTTCCTTATAAGCAACTTCTCCCTGTCGCACCCCGAGGCAAGTTTTCAGGGCGGGCCGGGCAACAGTTTCACGGATTGAGGGCGGGGCGTTTTCAAGATGTGGCTCTCGCCTTAGCGCGGCGCGCACTCGTTTTAACAAGTTGCAAGAGCTTCACGGATTGAGGGCGGGTCGTTTTCAACATGTGGCTCTCGCCTTTCCGCAGCGCACAGTCGTTTGAAAAGTTGCGAGAGTTTCACGGATTGAGGGCGGGTCGTTTTCAACATGTTGCTCTCGCCTCAGCGCGGCGCACGTTCGTTTGAATCATGTGCAAGAGCTTCACGGATTGAGGGCTGATCGTCTTCAACATGTGGCTCTCGCCCTAGAGCGGCGCACATTTGTTTCAAACATTTGCAAGAGTTTCACGGGACGGCGGGTCGTTTTCAAAATGTGGCTCTCGCCTTAGCGCGGCGCGCATTCTTTCTAACAATTTGCAAGAGGTTCACGGATTGAGGGCGGGTCGATTTCAAAATGAAGCTCTCGCCTTGGCGCGGCGCGCATTCGCTGTAAAAGCTTGCAAGAGCTTCACGGATTGAGGGCGGTTCCTTTTCAAAATGTGGCTCTCGCCTTAGCGTGGCGCACATTCCTTTGAACAATTGGCAAGGGTGTCATGGATTTCCATGATCAGCGTGCCAGAATATGTTTTGAATGGATTCCGGATTACGCGGGTGCATCCGTTATGTTGATTCGCTGTGTTGAAGTCCCAAGAATGACCTTCCGGCACGATTCAGGACTGTCAGGACGCAAATATCAGGTTGATCCGTGGCGTTGGAATCCCGAGAACAATGTTTTGGCATGCTTCAGGGTATTCAAACGATTGTCTTCCAAAGAGGCAGTTCCTTCAATGGAAAAGAACCGTCGTAGGAGCCTGTGAAGAGGGAGCTTGGCGAGAGGGCTTGTTCCAACATCGTTGATGACTCTTGGGTCTACACTGTTCCTCCTCCTTCTCCTCCTCCCCCCAGTTTCTAGAAGGCCCGAATGAACGACCCTAGAGACTCTCTGGACGCTCCTTGGAGCCTCTCGAAGGCTCCCGTGGAAGGCCCCCCTCGGAACCCCCGAAGCCCATGAAGCCAGTGGAGACGCACTGGCATCCAACGGCCCCTTCGCAAGCGCCATTGGCAAGACTCGGAGTTCTTCGAAGGCGCCCTGGAAGCATCCGGAAGTTCCTGAAGAAACTTATGGCCCCGGTGGGCCCCGGAGGCCCAAGGATTTACTCTACTGTGGTGAACCTGGGGGTTGGGTTGGGTTGTAAGGTACTTGCAATGTAGTTGTAAGGTAGCTGTAAGGTAGCTGCAACATAGTTGCAAGTCGGTTAAGCGTTTGCAAGATCAGATATCTTACGTAGCTGCATTAGCAAGTCGCATAACATTTGCATCAGTTGGCCAGCACTTGTCTTATCTTATCTTGACTTAGGCCGAGTTGCAACTTGACGCAGCGACATTTTGTTGATGGTTGAAGAGGGATTTGCACAATGTTAAAGTCAGAATGCCACTTCACATTTTTGTATGCGGGTGGGGCCCGCATTGCTCCTTTTTGATTTTCAAACGTTGCCCACGGGGCAATTATGAATTGAATATTTCAAATGCGTGAAGACGCATCAGTCGCTGGATTCTGTGCCAAGTGGCAATTGCACGCTCGACGAGCGACTCCGCGATTAAGTTTGGTCCGCGTTTGCAGCAACTGCATTCTCCACTATGCGTCGCAATTCGTTTTTTTCATGCATCATGCATGCATTCGGTACAACGCGTGGCATTATTTCAAGTGAGACCACATTATATATCAAAAAAAGATTGCTGTCGCAGCATTGGGACTTGCAGTGGCGATGTGTAGGCGTGTCAGGCTCGAGCTCGCCTCTCTCTTCTGCAGCTGCTGCATTTCCAGTGCGCACGATGCAGAATTTCTATCCGCGGGAGCTGGTGGATTTCATTAGCGGGCGCATCGAGATGCATCGCGATGGCAAGCTTGCCCCGATCACAGCTTGGAAGGATTGCGTCGACCGCCTTTTGAAGGATAAGGTCGCCAAGCAGATCGTCGCCGAGGCTGGCGAATTCATGATCCATCCCTCGAATCGTTCTGGTCTTGGCGTGAACGCCTACAACGTCCACAGGGTTGGCGCCATGCTCAGCAAGATCGGCGTTGACCCTGCAGAGCTCGAGAAGGCTGTTGCGTTCGAGCGCATGCCCACGGATCCGATGAGGTCGTCCCAAGTTGCATTCAATCAAAAAATGATCTCGTCCAGCAAGGGCATGCTGGCGCCGATGACGGGCGCGGAGAGGTTCTGCTCGGTGGGGACGGGCCACACCACGCAGTTTTTCAAGGCAGTGAAGGCGGGTTGCTCCACCCCTGAACCGACCCTCGCCGACCCGACTAGTCGGAAGATGAACGCCGAGACGTTGTCCAAGGACGTGCGTTTCCACGACGCCCTCAAGAAGGGCTGGCGTTGGACCGTCCTGCCGTGGCAGGCAGAAATCACGTGGCCGCACCTTCCAGATTTGGCACAGCGTGCCCTCAACGCGAGCAACAACGTTGCCAGTTTGATGTCGGAGCTCGAAGTGTGCGTGAGCATTGCAGAATTTGCAGAACTGATGCCACCTGGGTCTTCTTTCGGCGACTGCGTTGATGCAGTGAAGATGAACCAGCCTCCGTGCCAGGCAGGCTACTCGGGAATGCATGTCTTGCAAATGCGCACGGCGCACGCGGGCGCGGCCACGGCGCGTTGAAACGCCAGCAACGCGTTGCCGATTGCGTTTATCCGACATGCGTCTTGCAT